GTACAAATTGTTTAAAACTATATTTTACTCTTATAGTAATCTTAACAGTTTAATTTTAATCTATTTTAAATTCTATCCATTTTTTGTTCTTTTAATTTGAAAGTATTCTATATTTTTTTTCACACTTACGTTTCAATAGTGTTTTATAAGCGCCATTGGATAGCACTTTTGGACTAAAAGTGACCTATTTTAAATTTATGGGGATGAAAAAAATCAGAGAGACTAAAATTTAAATTAACAAAAAATCTAAAAGGGTAAAAAATTATTTATAAACTAATTTAATTAAGAGTATAAAATAAACGTCTTTGATAATGTAAACAGTAGATCTTTAAGAAAATTAATGATTTTCTTATCTAAAATTAAACCCTTCAAAATTAAATTTGGATAACAACATGAAAAATAAAAACTAAAAAATTTGAAATAATTATTAAACATGTGATTCTATAAAAAAACATGAATAGATCACGATTAAGTTATACATCAATATCAAGCTTATTAAATTTAGATTAATTCGATTAAGTATTTAAATATAACTTTAATCTTAATTTTTTTAATTAGTTTAATTATAAATAAAAGGTTAAGTTAATTAAATATTTAATCATTCAAACTTAAATGATTGAAAAATAATTTAAGCAGTCCTTTTGTAGGTCGCAACTTTGTGAGTGTTCTGAAATTTAAAAAAAAAAAAGTTGTGTTGGAGGAGCACTTAAAGAGGGTGATGTAGTGTTATTTTAGACATGAAAGGAAAAAGATCACACATAATCATAACTACAGTCAATAATGGTGATAATTAACATTTACGTTGTGCTTTAACCATTGCTTATTACCTAATCATCACACCTTGACTGCCACCATTAACGTGTACAATTTCTTTTCCACGTGCACCACTAATTATAATTCAGAAAATTTAGTAAACAATATATCATATGAAAAGTATTAATATTTTTAATTTAATTTACTACAAATATTAACTAAAGGATAAGATTTATATATATTTTTATATATATAAAGAATATGATAGGTTAGTCGATTGTTCTCTATTTTTAATGTTCTTCTTGTTCTCTTGAAAATAGTTATTCTATCATAATTCACTATCCATAAGTCGTCCATAGATGAGGATAATAATTTTTGTTTTCATGCCAACAGTAGGAAATTAGTTTTCTTATATAAAATGTTCTTTCTTTACTAGTTTAATTATTTTCATAACTTTTATTAATGTTATCATTAAAAGAATTGCGTTAAGAAAAGAGAGAAAATGAGTTTATTTTGTTATTATCTTGTATTTTTTACATAATAATCATCCAAATACATGATAATATTAATTTTAAAAAGAATTATTTCTTACATAACTTTTTTTACTTAAAAATACACGGTAAAAAATATATTACACAACAATCAATTTTAAATATTAAAAATTATTTACTATATTTAATAAATTAGATATTATTTTATAAATTAAAAATTACTATTCTTTAAAATAATTTTGTATTATGAATAAAAAATTATAATTGTTTGTAATTTAAAGTTTAAAATAGTCTCTAACATTAACAACATTATGATTCTAAATTAATCTTTAATTATAATTTTAATGAGACAGATTTAGACACTAATATTTTAGTAGTCAAAATTTTGATAACTAAAATCTTGATGACAAGTGTTAGAGATAGTGTAAACCTAAAATCACATATATATTAATTATAATTTTCCAATTCATAACTAATACATCGAGGCGTGTTATATTACAAATATATCATTGTGTTCTAATATGTTTACTAATTCTAGTTATAATGTGAAAAATTAATCTTAAAAGTAATAATATGTATATATATATATATATATATATCACTTTATAAACACATTGCGTTTTAATTTATTGTTCACATCATCTTGTTATTACTTTCACGCAATTTCAATTAACGAAAAAGTAAGATATATATACTTTTAAAGCTTATATAATAAAAATTCATAAAAAAATATAAAGTAATATAGTAGTAAAATATTAAAAAAAGAGGAGAATAAAGGGTACTTCAACCCTTTTATGAAAAAAGAGAACAAGAAAATAAACTAAACTAGTGAACAGAAGATAAAAAAAAAACTAAAGGTGAAATGTGTGCAACTTCAAATTGCATAAGAGAGAGGATTAAGTTTATAAAAGAAATATATAGCAAACACACCAACCTAGAGAACATAAATTACATTTCAAATATAATCCTTTGTCTCAAGTAACTGTTTTGGTATCCTATAAGGAAAGATAAACAATATGAACTTTACCTATTTATAAATAATCCTCTTAAACTTCTTAAAAGTTTTTCTTACTAGTTAGAAAAATAATTTGACACCAATTATTTTTACATTTTCACTTCGCTTTTTCTATTGAGACGTATTCAAACCAAAAGAAATTTTTAAGTTTTGGTTATTAATAGGAGCATATTCTTCATAAATAGGTTTTGATTCTTATATGTAATATAAAAAAAAATTAAAGTTATTTAAATACAAAAATCTTGACAAATTATTTAATAATTTGAAATAGTATGTGAATACAACGAGCAAGAGAAGAAAAGCGAGTGTAGCGACAACGAATTCACATACCGGAGTTGTAGATAAATTCTTAGGAAAAGACTTTGATCACAACCAACTTAAACAATGACAAAGGGTGGTGAAGAACCTGGACACAAAATACTTGTATTAAGAAACAGGAAAATGTTCTTTTAACAACTTTCTTTGACAACTTTTTTACAATCGCCTGTGATAGCTTGTGATTGGTTTGTTTCAAATATACAGACCAATAAAATAATAACATGTAATCTATTGTCAAAAAGTTGTTAAAAAATATTATTAACATATCATGATCGTAAAAAACAAGCCTTACAAACACAAAAAAAAAAGCATAAGATGAGATCACAATGACATTCGTGTTTTCAATTATAATAAAAAACCAAAGAGATCACAATAACATTAAAACAAATGCCTTTATTAGGATCTAAATATTTAAAAAATTAATCCTAACCGAGGAATATGTTTTAGCTCTCTATAAAATTGAAACCTATAATCTAATAGATATAAAATTAAAAAATAATATTAAAATTTTTAAAATTTTGGAATAACTTTAAATTTTGGTTATTTTAAAATGGAAAACTATAATTGTACAATTTTTTTTTTAAAGAAAATGTTATTATATTTTAAAAGACTTCATTTCTAAAACTAAGTTTTTCTTGAAACTAACGTATTAGTTGATTTCGAAAGTGGTTTTTACACTAATATGCCCAATGTAGAGTTTTAACCACCACATACACTAACTTTTTTATTCTCTAGGCAAGTTTGTCCTTCAATAAATTTTCCATATGTTTTTCTTTATGCATATTAAATGATGGTTTTCAGTCTCTATGAATTATGTCAAAATTAAAATGAAAATAAACAGTTACAAGTATATTAGTCATGCCTCCTTAAGAATATCCCAATTATATACTAGTTTCTCTGAATAACCAAAGTCGAAGCCATAATAACCCCTTCAAAGTAACGAAAATGGAGGGGATGTAAAAATCGGATGTGATTTTGCTGCACTTACCTGTGTTTGAAGAATCCTAGGGTATAGTTACAAACTTTGGCGTAAGAAATATTTAATATACACTCTTTTTGTACTTTTTTTTCTTTCTCTTTTTATTTCCTCTCATTTCTCACATGGTATCTTTATCATTACTCTTTTGCAAGAACTGCTGCGTGTTTCTTTCATACTACTTGAATTTGGTGCGCTTCAAAGACATGCACAAACATACATTCAAACATTTTAATATATACACGTATGGAATTACACGCATGCATGATTTAGAACCAATACCTATCAAGGTAAGGTAAGGTGTCAATGTCACAAAAATATGCTCAATGGTATGTGTTTTTTACGTTCAATAAAACTATGGAATAGAATTATATATTATTCTTTTACATATATAATTTTAATCTATACCTTTTTATACCATTCATTTTATTTGACACCTGTCTTTGTCTGCTTTTGGTGCCTTTATTGCAATTTCGTATCTACATAAAAATTTTTCTTTCTCCTTTAAAAACACCAATTTCTTGAGAATGAAACGTCAACAAAAGGGTAATTAAGGTGGACCACAATTAGATGCTTGAGTTTGAAACAGCCTCCAAGAAGCTAAATCTAGCCTACATTATTCTTGTAACCTCAATAAAATAGTAGGCTGAAACATGATTATGATACCAGCACTCATTAATTGCCTGAAGTAATAATCAATTCTAAATGATTAAGCCTTCCTACCACTTGCTCCCTTTTCTTTACCAAACTAGCTACGATATCTGGTTTTTCATTTTTTCTGTTCATTCCTATTTTGATCAAATTCCCACGGAGAGAATGAAGGTAGGGAAACACCAAAACCTCACAATGCATTAATATTCGAATTTCTTCTCTTTCAACCTCAGTCATTCTAATTGCTCCCTAGGATGTCTTCAAACGAAGTTTCTTACTAGTAGCAACCTACGACTAGGTTTTAAGAAATTGATTAGAATTAGTTCTATTTGAAGTGAGGGAGACATTTGATTATGGTTTGCAAGAAACATGAAATAAAATGGCCGGTGCCATATATTAGTGTCTCCAACTTAAAGCAAATTTGTTAAATCTAACAGAAAGAACACCTGCAAATACACCAACTGAGAATTAAGATAACATATCAATATCAAAAGAAGAAAAAAAATAAATTATTTAATTAACATGTTACATAAACATTACATATACTTAGATTCGAGGTGAAACAGCAGCAAACCTCAGTATAACTAGAAGGTGGTACTGTACAGAAGGAAAAGAAAAGAAAAACGAAATGGAAAGAGACTAAGAAAGATACACTTTCCACACACTACCTTTCCTGGCGTCTAAGCAAAGACTGGATAGAACTTCTCCCATAATTCATTATTATATCTTACTTACCTTTTTCCTTATTAAGATTTTTGCATTATTAGTATAAAAGGTTATTAATACCATCTGATGGATAGTAACTAACTAGTAAGGGAAGCCCCAGAGATTAGGATTTTCATCCATGTAGTCATAATCTGTAGCAGAAAAATTGTCAAAACGAGGAGGGCTGAGTAGCATTCCTTCAGCCATGTTGACCAGAATATTCGGCATGTCAAAGATCAAGTCATCATCCACGAAGTGGTTTAAGTTTCCCCCTGGAAACTCTTGTGCCATCGAAACCGAAACATTCCCTCCTCGGCTTCCTTCACTCAGTGCATCATTAGCTGCTCCGACGGCGGCTGCAGCACTGGCAGCAGCCATCTGAATGTCACGAGCAGCGGATGAAGCAGGAACGGGAAGAGAAGAGGCGGAATCAGGGAAGTTGAGTTCGGCATCCTTCCCCTTAAGAGCAAGCGCTGCCACGTCATAGGCAATAGCCGCCATTTCAGGGGTGGCAAATGTCCCTAACCAAATCCTGTTAGGTTTTCTGGGCTCACGGATTTCAGAAACCCATTTTCCACTGCTCCTACGCCTCACTCCGCGGTACACAGGGTGGCGCCCTGTGTTACCGTTAGAGGCTCCGGTGCTTGATGCAGCACATGTGGTACCGTTGCTGGAACGCATGGTGGTGATGTGAAGGCTAAGGGATATCTGAGGTGAAGGTGGAAGAACTTGGATGATGGCAGTTGGCAGTTGAGGGGAGCCATTTATTGGGGTTAGAATTGCGATGGCTGGAGAAGGAGTTCTGAGATGGGAGTGCAAACCAGTTGTTGATGAACTACGGTGTGTGAAGGATTAGGGTGTAAGCCAGCTTGGTGATGTTGGATAACTGGGTTGGAGTTGGAGAGCGTTTTAGCAAAATTATAAAATAAAAATCAAAAAATCAAGGTATTAGCTGCTTGCAGCTCCCCTTAAAACCACGTCAAAATTATCAACAGTGATAATGCACTTTGTCTGTCAATCGATATATATGCACATCACTAACCACCATTCTTCGTTTTTTTCAACAGGGATTTTGATATGTTGGAGAGAACGTAAAATTCCATCTTATTACTATTATCTATAACGCAATATAAGAGTGCTGACATGGATTTTTCAGTGGCTAAATTTTATCAGCCGAGGTTATGGTTTTCTTAGTTACCCTTCGTTTATTTTGTCCCACCAATTAGGTAGGGTTTCTCCTCCTGCTGCTGCATTGCTATGAGAATTTGGAAGGCTTTACGAACTTTTTCTTCCTCAGCACATGTTTTCCGAACATGTTTTACCATTTTACTATGCTATATGTATGCTGCCATTTGTAGGTTATTAAAAAGGTTCCAGACGCATGAAAGAGCTATCAGACTGGATCATATAGACTCGTGAAATCACTTATCTCTTCTTTTAGGGATACATCTAAAGGAAGTAGCTGATATATAAAAAATATTAATACACTTATCTCTTTCCTATCAGAAAGTTGAAACTTTCAGTCAAGAAGGAGAAATGAAAATACTCTCCACTTTATTAATTCACAGCGTTAGAAATCCAACAAGGCTTTTATTATCACAATTGTTTTTTTCGTTATAAGTCAGGTTGAAGCCCGTAACATATTATTCTCACACATAATATTTAGCAAAGTTTCATAGCAAATGATAAAATTGTCAGATTTCATCAAAAGTAGCTTAATAAAATATCATTTAATTGATATTGCAAATGAATATTCTTAAGCTTCTGCCTATATATGTAGTTTGGTCAATTGATGAGCTGCTTAAAAAAAATAATTAAGCTCTTGTCTATTTTTCCTGTTTAATCACTAGTTTTGACAACTATCATCTTTCATTATATTCATTCAACGCTGAAAGTTGAAGATTCAAACAGAAGTTAACTTGAGACATAGCAACTACCAATGAATTGATTGAGAATATATATATATAATTTGAAAATTTAAGTATAAGATTAAGTCTTATATTGTGTAAAGATGATAAAATATTGAACACCATATAAAAAATAAAATTCATAATTTATTATTTTAAGATTTTGGGTTTAAAATGTTGTCAATTCTTTGTAAGACTCATATTTAATTAAGGTTGAATGATTGTCTTGATAATTAATTTAGATGGAATATAGTACAAATTCACAATATCTATATGTTCTATTTTGGGGTTTATAAAATAAAAATACAAAACTAATGGTTTTGAATAAAAACATTTGGATATATTTCTTAAACACTCATTAATGGAGCAAAGAGAACATCCAAAAGCATTTTATTATATCCTTACCTCTTCAAATCTTATTGAAATTATTTGCTCAACTAGAATCTTTATATATTATACTCATTTAAGTTGGTAATTAAGATAAATTAATCACTTTGGCACGATGAAAGACTCAGTAATAATGAAAGATGAGTTAAATTTATGTAAAGAATAGAAATTATCTCAATCTAAAAACTTTAAAATAATATGATTGAAGTAATTTTTTTATCTCTACTTACATTCGTATTTGAATTTTCTAACACTCATTGTATATTATGCTTGTATGGGTGAATGAGAGGCTTGCATGGGCGAATGAGAGACTGCGGAGCCAGATCAAGGTGGATGGATGATCCCAAATCCTATATAACATAAATCAAGTTTACTAGTAAGTGTTATTTATTAGAAATTGAACTATGATTACGACTCTCTTAATCATAAGTTTATATCGAAATCTATAAAAAGATAAATGACTATATTTATTATGAACATTTTACTGTGCCGTCAATCGGTTAAATTACTAATTTGAGCGTCAGAGTTGTGAAACGTCAAAATGTCTTTCACAAGTATTCCTCTGTATAGTTTGAAGTACAAACATAAAGAACATGGAAGAATCAAACTATGTATATATTCAAGATAACACAAGGTGACTAGGAGAAAAAAATGTAAAAGAGTGTTTAATAATAATTCTCGACTCCCTGATTAAAACACTCTTATTTAAATTTGAACAAGATCACGTGATAATGAGTTTCAGAACTGAAAGCATATAGTATCTAGTTACGCTATGTTTAGAACAACTTTCCCCACATCAATTCTACCAACTGTACTCTCTACCTTCCATCCGAGAGATTAAGAGAGGAGTGTCCCTTTCTGTACTCCACAATGAGCATGGCAATGGTTCTAAGTGCATGCACTTTAAGAAAATAAATGATAAAAATTATCAACGGATATTATCACTTCTTTGACCAATCACACAAGTGGTTGCAAAAGTAAAACTGGTAGCCAATTACTACATTCAATAGATTTGGCCTAAATAGAAACTTGGAAAAAATTTATTCTTCCCTATTATAGAAATTAATTAGAGTGTAATTTTGATTTTGATGTTTTTTATTATTATTATTATCAAAACTTTAATGATTTCACAATTCAAATTTTCAATTGGTAACCGAATCAGAAATGATAGTTCCCGTGTGATGGAGTTAAGGGTGGAGATGAAAAGGGGTATTTTTCAAATGGAGGTCTCAGATTAATAAATTACACAGCATGGTGTAAACTTTTGCTATGCCCTTCACAGAAACTGGAATTCTTTGCCTTTCCAGACATAAGAGTTAGAGACCACATACCTTCAGGAACTTTTTAAGAATTTAATTTTTCGTGTTTGTTTATATTTATTTTTTCTGGTGTACATTTTTTACATATTACTTTTTCTTTTTTTTTCTTTCATCCTAACTTATCTTTTGAATGTAAAGGAATTGTTAATAATATAAAAGGGTGAATTATTTAACAATAGTTTTAAAAACTGTTTCAACATTTGCTATATATAGTATAGGTTGTTCCTATTACGTGGAAGAGTTGAATTTTCCTTGTGGAAGAATCTTAAACATTAAAATTAGAAATTTAATTTATATTGTTAAACACATTGTCTCGATAAATTAACTCAACTTTCAAATATCAAAAACCTCAATTTAGATAGAGTAATTTAATTTTCTCTTTGCCGATTTGTGCCTCTCTCTCTCTCTCTCTCTCTCTCTCTCTCTCTCTCTCT